TGGCGACTCCATGAGGTAATGAGGTGGCGGCGCGGCAATCAGGGCAATGAACAGGGCGCGAACGGCTAGCAGGCATTCTTCCAGCTGTCATGCTCTCCTCAATCCTCCGGAGGAAAGAGAGGAATAATGTGGAGGACGACAAGATGAAGGTCAGCAGAACGATGACAGACGGAGGGGACATACTCCACGCGCCCGCCAGTAGGCGTTCTTCTGGCGCATCTTCTTCGAGGCGAAGGACGTCGAAGTGGAAGGTGGCCTGGAGATTGCAGAACCAGTGTTCAAGTGTTAATCGGCAGTCCCCGCGTCGCGAGACGAGCCGCGCGCATGCGCGGGTGGGCTGAGGAGAAGATGGAATCTCAACACACTTGCCATGAGAGCCTAAACTTGTGGCGGTCCACGCCCCACGCCCCCTTCTGGGGCTGCCTGGGCGTTCGGAGCGCGCTCCGTCCGGGCGGCGCCGGAGGCGCCTTCGGCGAGGTGGGAAGAGGATTCCGGCACGGACCCAAGAGATCCGCGTGGGCCTCCGAACGTGTGTGCTTACATTTGCCAGCCTGGATCCTGAAGGGTGGGTTCTTGCACTCTGGCTGTGGAACTCACGGAGTGCAGTCTCAGGCGTGGTACCAATCGTGGGCAACCTCTGTGGCGCAAGCATGATATGGTGCTACTAGCTACGGTCACGGATGAGTTGTTCAATGGCTCGCGCAATCATCCCACGTTCCCACCCGCAACTTGCTTTGCAAAACTCATGCGGCGGCGATTGCGATGACTGCTTGGCCATGGCTGGCGCGTCTCTGCTGCCGCGCTGGCTCGCGCAGGTAAGCTGGTTCGGCACAACGGGTGCGGTCCCGATGGTGCTTACCGATGGCAACGTCCCAGCGCGTGTCAAAGGCCGCGCTGGCGCGCGGGTGTTTCAATGCGGGTTGTTGGCTCCAGCGGACGCGGTATCATGATGACGTCGGCAACACCGGCAACGATCGTGATAGCAGCGATGGTGGTGACAATGACGATGACAGCGGCAAAGCCAATGACGGCGTCGATGCTGGTGACCCCGATGACGATGACCTTGGTAGCGCCGATGACGATGATGATGGTGATGATGATGATGATAATGATGAGGGGGATGATAATCATGATGAAGGAGCTTGAGTGATGATGGCGGCAATTGTGGCATTTGTTAATGCCGACGACATGATGCGGCGGTGCTGACGGTGATGGTGTGGATTTGCGCGCGCGCGAGAATCCAGGAACCCTTGCAAACTTGTTGTTGGGAGACATGCTGTTGTCACAGATGTTGAAGGGCTAGCTAATGAAATGCGGCGATACCCATGGTTGTGGAGCATTTCGACACGCTCGCGTGGCGATTCGCGCGTGTGACCCGCATGGTATTAGTTGCTGCGGGTCCTGGGCAAGACTGTGAATGGCTGCGCTATGATTTCGTTGCTTCTGGTTTGCAAGAACGTGATAACAAAGTCAAGCGTTTTGGGATGTATTTATGTTGGGGTCGCAGCTACATTTGTGTTCGTGGTACGACTTCGACATGTGCGTACGCGTGTGGATTTGGGGTGCTTTTCTGTTACAAGGGACTGTTGGACAATTGTCCTCTGCGGTGAAAGAGTGTGCGCGCATAGTACGATTTGTTATGGATCTGGGAGGGGCGGGGGGTATAACCGACTTGGCTGGCATCACATGTAATTTGCAGTGGCCCAGTGGGGGGGTCGATAAGTCCAGGGAGAAAGTGTTGCAGAGTCTACTACTCTTGTGGGTGAGAAGCTATGTGGTGCAAGTTATGTTGCACAGCCTAGTCCACAGACATTGCACACCATGGATCGCACCACGTAGCTCTATCCAGGAGTATTGCACAGCACAGGCTACATGTCGCAATCCTTGAGGTGCAGCGTAAAAGTACAACTAATCGTTGTCAAATCGTGAGTTGTCAACTCCACTGTTCGCGCAATCGTCCCACCTTCCCACGCGCAACTGGGTTTGCAAAGCCCATGCGGCGGCGATTGCGCTGACTGCTTGGCCACGGCTGGCGAACCTCTGCAGCCGCGCTTGCGCGCACAAGCTCGCTCCCAGAGATGACAGCTGTCGTTGCACAGCCGATGCGGCCGCGATGACGAAAGGCCGCGCTCGCGCGCGGGTACTTCACTCCATTGCGTGTCGGTGGCTCGGGCGGGCGCAGCTTCACGCTGGCGTCGATATCAGCGGCAACGAAGATGATAGTAGTGATGGTGTTGGCGATGGCGACGATGACGAAGACCAATCGCGGCGCCTGTGCTGGCAACGCCTATGACGATGATGATATCCATGTGTCGCTGATGTGGTTCCGGAAGGAACTGGACATCTGGGCGCTGGGCCGAAGCGCGCGAACGTTTGTTTATAGGGATCGTACCTCCCCCCAGCAAGCGCGCAGGGGCTTACGAATGATGTCGACATGCGAACGCGAGAGGGCCGCGTAGTCTCATGTGACGAGAACGTTGTAACACCCCTGGTTCCATGTGCATTTGCAAGGACGCGCCGAACCTCTTGCACACATATTGCTGGACAAACGCATGTTGTTCCCATGGGTTCGAACGCCTCGTTCTTTGAAATCCTGACAGCTATGGTTTGGGACAGATTTCGACGCGCGCGTGCCACGACGCGCGCGTATGGACTTAGCCACATACGTTATAAGGACTCTCTCGACTTATGACCTTTTCTTATAAACGAGTGCGCGCGCACAGCATCATGCGAGAAGGGTCAGGGGGGAGATCGATACCGGGATTCCCTGGTATGGTAGAAATCCAGTCAGGGGGTCAAGGGGGAACCCTTGCAAACCGACAAGTTCTAAGATATAATGGTGACAGGTTTTCCCTAGATGATACTCCTCCGTATCAGTACAATTGTTCTCCTCATCCCCATCATCTTCCATCTCCTCCACCCCCCACCGATTGTTGGCTACCTGGTCGTCATAATCCTCCCCCCTCTCCACCTCCTCCTCCTCCTCTTCATCCTACGCCTCCTGTTGCTCCTCCTGTCACTCCTCCTCCTCCTCCTCCTCGCCCTCCTTCTCCTCCTCCTCCTCCTCCTCCTCCTCCTCCTCCTCCTCCTCCTCCTCCTCCCCCCCCTAGTCCTCCTCCTCCTCCTTCTCATTCCTCTCATCCCCCTCCTCCTCTCCAAACTCACCCTCATCCTCCTATACTGCACCTGCGCCGGCTCGTCTACACTTCCTCTTTCGCCTCATATCGCGCTCCCTATTCATACACCATTTACCCTTCCTCCATTGGGGTGATTGGAGGAGGCTGGGATGGTGGAGGGCGAGTCGTATAGTGAGGAGGAGGACTAGGAAGAGGCGTTAGATGATCGCGAGAGTACGGAGAGGAGGAGGAGGAGGATGAACTAAGCATTGTCATCCTCCTACTCCCCCTACCCCTTTTGTTGATCTCCCCTCGTCCTCCAGACCCCCTTCTCATATCACTTCCTCTTCTCCTCTGTCCACATGGGAGATTATGGAGGGGGAACGAAGCAATATGTGGAGGAGTGACTGGAGGATGAGCGGGAGTGGTTGGTTCCTCCTCGTCTTTCTCATCAATCGATTGTCCGCCGATGGTTAAGCGTGTCCTGCTGCTCCTCATATCTCTCCTACTCCTCCTCCTCCGCATTTCCTTCAATTTCCGCCTCATCATCATACTTCTCTTCCTCTCCCTACACTACACCTGATCAGCCTTCTCTACCCGCCGTCCTCTGTCTCCTATCTTCCGTGGTGGTGGTGGTGGGAGGAGGCTGAGAAGATGGAGGCCAAGCCTTTTAGTGAGGATGAGGACGAGGAAGAGGTGTGAGATGACCCGGAGGACTGTGGATATGAAGAGGAGCTAAGCAATGACATCCTCCCCTACCCCTCCTTCTGCTCCCCTCTCCTCCGTCCTTCTCTAGCTTCCATGTCGCGCTTCTGGCATAGGGAGGAGGAATGCGATGGGGAGAGGACGCTTGACAACTTTTGGGATGAGCAGGATATAGAGGAGAAGGATGAGGAGAAGGAGGGGCAGCAGGAGGAGGAGGAGGAGGATGAAGCGGAAACTCATAATGATGTTGAGAAGGACAGATGATTCCTCCTCCTGGTCACCATCCTGCTCGAAACACTCCCCTTCCTCCTCCCATTATCGCTCCTCATCGTAACTTTTCACCTCCTCCTATGTCACGTATAGAATGAGGATGGTGTGGGGGCTATCGGAGGAGGAGGGGGAGGAAGAGTGATAACAGTGATACGGGGGAGGGCGAATAGGATTTGGATGATGATGATGAGTTTTTGACAGTGTTGCTCCCCTTTCTACGGTCACCCGTATCACCACCCTCCTCTCCACCATCATTATATCACCTGGCCCAGGGCAGCTGCAGCTGTCCGCTGGCCCCTGGGTTGTACGGCAGATCCTGTCCCCTGTTTCCGTGTCTCCCTCACCTCTCTGTGACGGACAGGCGTTAACAGCCATTTTGGCTTCAGGGGGCGCTGACACGCCAGTGACTCTGTGTGGACCGAATATGTTCTCTGCCCTCCCTTGAGAAACACTGTTTCAGGCCTGTCGGCCTCCGCTCGCCCCATGCTGTCTCTCAGTCCGCGCCGCGCCGGCGCTGCAGCGACGCCAGCAACGCGGGCGTTCAAGAGGGAAGTGGTGGCCTGGATCAGGCCAAGGGCGTTATCTTCTTTGTTGAGCAGCGGAGGCCGCGCAATGTTGGACGATCTGCGCCGAGTCAGAAACCAACGTCCGCGCCGTCGCGACTCGGCAGCGCGCCCCGCGGGCAAGGCAGAGGGGGCAGGCCTCCCCAGGAGGCACAGAAGGCGGCCTTCCAAGCCCTAGCCTTACGTCGGGCCTCTCCCCCTACAGGAGGAATATTCAAACTAGAAAAGTAGTCAGGGAACGATTGTTGCGTATATTGAACATGTCTTGACTGTTCTTCGGTTTTAATCAATCATCCCAACTCCGCCTGTAGGAGGACACGCCCGACCTAACCCTATCCCACGCCAAGCCACAGAGGACTTCTGAGAAGCCCCGCCACCTGAGAAGGCCTGCCCCTGCTCCCTCAAAGATCCTCGCCGTCTGGCGTTCGGCTCCAAACTCTTCGGGCCGCGTCCCTGGCGGCCGTCTGGAGCGATCCGGGCATCCCCAGAGCGCTGCCTGCGAGGCGCAGCCGCTGGAACGCATCCCGGCGCTGGGAAACCGCCGAGAGCCCACCAGCACTGCTCCTCCCCCTCCTCCTCCTCCTCCTCCTCCTCCTCCTCCTCCTTCTCCTCCTCCCCCTCCTCCTCCTTCTCCTCCCCCTCCTCCTCCTTCTCCTCCTCCTCCTCCTCCTCCCCCTCCTCCTCCTCCTCCCTCCTCCCTCCTCCTCCTCCTCCTCCTCCTCCTCCTCCTCCTCCTCCTCCTCCTCCTCTCCTCCTCCTCCTCCTCCTCCTCCTCCTCCTCCTCCTCCTCCCCCTCCTCCGCCTTTTCCTCCTCCGAAATTTGCTCGGCTCGAACCCTCACACCCCCAGCGCGCCGCCGAGCGACTGGTGCTGGCCGCAATCGGGGCGTGCGCGGTGCCTCGATAGGCTCCCGAGCGGCTCTGCAGCTGCTCGCGGGGACCTGGCGCCCAGCGAGCCGGCATCTGCAGGTCGCCCCGAGTTCGGGGCTCAATGCAAATGGGGGTCAGCCAGAGCGCAGGATCTTGCAGGATCCTGCAGCGCCAGGGCTGCGCTGACCCGGGCCTGTAGACCCGGGTCAGAAGATCCCCGACGAGCGCCGGATTCGTTTGCACAGTGACTTTCTGGTGCGGGCCCGCCTGGGTCCTCCGATGGAGAGACGCGGAGAGATGGCAGCGGCTGGCAGGCTTGGGCTGGGGCCCCGCGCCCTTCCTGAACCGCGCGCCAAAAGGTCACTCTCGCGTCGGGTCACTCTAGCGTTCAGCCGACCTGAGACTCATGTCCTGATCTTTTCACCGCGCTAAGGCTTCCGGGCCGTCTCAGGGGAGGTGATGGTACTGATGATGGACACACTTTCCACCACCACTACCACATGTAGGACGGGGGACAGGGTGGATGAGGAGGTCCTTCTCCTCCTCCTCCTCCTCCTCCTCCTCCTCCTCTTCCTCCTCCTCCTACTCCTCCTCCTCCTCCTCCTTCTCTCTTCCCTCTCCTGCCAATGGTAGTGGTGGTGGAAAATTAGGCCATCAACTAATGCTGATCTACCCTTTGCTCTTCCTGGGCCTCCTGGGAGGCCCTCGTCGCCGCGGGCGGCAGTCGCTATGGGGCCGTTGGTGGCTTGAGGCGAGGCTCTCTTCTCGCATTGGCTGTTGCTTTTCGGGCTGGCAGCCATGTCTGATGGAATGCCCTGCACCACCCTCCGTTGCAGGTGCTCTCTCTCTCTCTCTCTCTCTCTCTCTCCAGGTTTAGACCTGAGCGCTGAAGGCCCTGACTCGAAGAAGCAAAATTGTCATAAACATAAGCTTTTGGAGTTCCGCGCGGATTTCTTGTATCCGCGCTGGCCCCCCCCCCCTCCGGCGGCGCTTCCGGCAACAGGGAGGGGGGTCCAGCACAGATCCAAGAAACCCGCGCGGAGCGTCAACATTTTATGATTACGGCGTTTATTTATTGTTTTTCAGTGACGCTGAGGTAAAACATTTCCAAATAACGGCTGGAGGCGCTCCGAAATCCCTGCCAGAACGTGCCCTGTGAGAGGTCTGGGGAGTGGCGGCATCGCGGCTCTTGCTGCCCCGCGTGCCCCGGTCGCCGACGACCGGGGAAAGGTCCGCGACCGCTCGCGCCACAAGCAGCCTCGAAAGCGTCGAGCTGCCCTTTGGGCGCACGGCGCTGCTTGCGTTTTGTGGAAGCGGGCAAGCTCTGATCTGGCCAGTTCCGAGGGGCGTCGGGGGCGGCAAGAGTGGGGTGGGGTGATGACTAGGGGGGGGTACATCATGGCTTGGGCCATGATATTTTCTCAGATTTCATGACGCCTCTTATTTCAATGCGTCCCTGGCACCCCCCCTAGGCCGCGCACATGCCGCCGGCCATGGGAGCGAAGGGGGGGTCGAGGTCTCCCGGAAAAGGTCCGAGTAGATGGGGTTGATTGATCGCGTCGCATCGGCGGTGCATCGGCAATGCGGCTCGATGTGGAGCCCGATTTTCTCCACGCCGACGGCGATGATGCATTGGCGATTCGGCACGATCCTCCGACCCTATCTACTCGGACCCCATCTAGGAGCCCTCTAGAGGAGCGATAGAGTGGGGGTCGGGGGAGGAGGCGGCGCAGAAGCAGAACAATCATCGAACTTGTAATAAGTGACCAGGTGGTGGGTGGGCAATGTGTGCTGGAGGAGGGTGTTGAGGGGAGGGTTCCGAGATCGAGGAGGGGAATGAGGCGGAGGATGAGTGCGGGGGTGCTGGAGGCTAGTAGGGAGCAGCAGGGGCGGGAGGAGGACCACGAGCGACAGGAGCATCTGGGGCAGAGGGAGGAGGAGGAGCAGCAACCGCTGGGCGCGGACAAGAACAGGCACAAGTCGGGGTCATCCCTCCTCCATCCTCCCCCCTGGAAACGTAATAAGACTCGAGTTCGCTGGATCTCTGGTTTGCCGATGCCCTTCGAGGAGCCTGCCCCAGGTTTTGAAGTTCAGTCCTCGTGGGATGTTTGCAGCGGGAGTTCGCGTCGCATTTCAGATAGTGTCGCATCATTTCCCTGACGGCCCCGTCAGGCTAATCTAAGTCACCCTCACCTGGATGTTACGCCTCCCCTAACATGGGGGGAGGGGGAAGACGCAGAAGGGGTAGAGAGATGGAAGAGGAGGAGGAGGAGGAGGAGGAGGAGGAGGATGAGGGGAGGAACAAGCAGAAGGCAGAGCAGACGAGGCTGCTGCGACTGCTTCCCCTCCTCCTCCTCCTCCTCCTCCTCCTCCTCCCCATCTACCTCCTCGAATGTCTCCAACTCAAGTACCCTCTTACGCCATCCTCATCGAGTGCGGGTCGTACATCTCGCATCGTGATGTACCGCGCGCCCTCCCCCCGTTCCAGCGGGTGAGCGGCCGAGGTGTGAGGACGATGCCGATCGGCCTCACGGAGTTCTTCCTGCGCGGCGGCGCGCCATCGGGGTAAAAGGGCTTCGTCCGTTCCTCCTCGCTCCTCCTCTTCCTCCTCCTCCTCCTCTTCCTCCTCCTCCTCCTCCTATTTGACGCTGCGCGAACTTCATGCAACAGCATGGGGCGTTATACCATGCAAGACAAAGAACGGAACGCCGACTTAGCGGTGTGAGATACATATTATACTTGGCTGGCAGGAAAGGACGTGCCAAAAGGACAGGACACGAAGAGGGCCTAAAAGGCACAGAGTATGCGCCAGCCAGGCGGTCTGCAAGTAAGAGGAACGACCGACTGACAATCTTAGTAACAACCAGACTGATCAAGAGGGATCCGATCGAAGGAGAGATAACGAATTACAAGTGCAGCAGTAGTTAAGCGAAGCGCTGCTATGCCTGGAGCTATCTTGATACCCCCCCCCATGGTAGCCAAGCCAATCAGAACCCACCTTCCCTCATATGTCCATGCGTGCAGCGTCTGAGGCAAAGAGCCGCATTAAAAAAGTGTAGTCATGCAGGCGACGTTAGGGAGGACTAGTGAGTTGTGCCGACTGGCAGTGCGGCAAGCAGTAGAGCGACCTACGGTCTTAGTGATGGCTGGCCTGTGTTGCAAATTGATGTGCTGATGCCCACTAAGTGGCTGGCAGGGGCTAGATCGAGTGTGGTTGGCCTATAGCTCTTTACTGCAATCAGGCTGGCCAGCCGCTGGTAGTGCGAACGGGTGAACTTGCTGGTGTTGCCGCCCTCCCCCCTCATAGATGAACTGCGCCCGCCTCCAACTCCCATGCCCAGTGTAGAGTCAGGTTGCGTAAGAGGCGGGGCTCAAAGCTGTGAAAAGCAAGTGCTAGTGGTGACAGTTCTTGGATTGCTGCCCAGGGTTTTTCGGTTCACCCCGAACCTCATGGTTCCAGGACCCTAGTGTTTTTTGCCGTCTTTTTCGGGCTTAGCACGAACCCTTGGTACCATTAGATGTGTGGCTGAGGATGGCAACGGCTGTGCTTGCTGACTGGTGCTAGTATCCGTACAGCCATAAATAGGCTAGCGCTATAAAGGCTGGCCTGTGTAGGCTGGCCTGCGATTCTGTTGATGAAAGTCTGGAGCCGGTGGAGCCGCATAGCGGGGGCCAATCCCGGTATACCAGGGGGCAAGCCCCAGCTGTCAAGTCCCATCCCAACCCCATCAAGTACACGCTGGTGGGCCAGCGATGCTTGGCCTTGGGGCGTAGGAGGGCCTGGTAAGACAGTGACGAGGCAAAGTGAGCAGAGTAAGATTTCGAAGTATGCCAAATCTGTAATTTGGCAGGCTGCACTCAGGCATGTCAGGCTGTGGGAGTGCAGTAGACAGGCGAGGTAGCTGTATGTAGGCTAGCACAAACAAGCTGTGCTGGCTGGCCTGTGGTGGCAAAAAGTCGGTCGAATGTGAGCAGGGCGCTGGCGGCTGTGAATAGACTGTGCTAGAACCGTTGAGGTGTGAGGTGTAGGTGTTAAAGCACGGCGGACATCAGCGGGGCAGAGCCCATCCGCAAAAGGCCAAAGCGGCCAGAAGTCGGTCCCCCAAATCCCCTCAACCTGTCCCATAAGTGTCTAACACCCCCTCGCCGATGATAGCGGTGGCTGCCTGGTCGGTATGGCTAGTGCTGGTGACTCAAATTTGCGGGCAGGCAAAAGATGTGCCAGGTACGTCGGTAATACCAGATGAGGAGCGCTAATGGAGAGATCGTGAGAGGTGCGGGCCTGAACGATCCGGGTGTCAAGCGCAGAGGCTGCTAGAGGTAGAAGTGTACCTGTTGCGGCTCTCCGCAAGGCAGCAGCGGCGGGGAAGAAGAGGGGGGGAGCGGGGTGACACACCGAAGGAGGCGATCGTCGAAGCCCTACGCCTCCGCAAGCGGACGTACAGGACCTCGGCCTTTCTTTCACCAACAATCAGCGAGGCATTGCCCCTGGCGGGGGAGGAGTAGCCCACACCGGCTGACTGAGCGGCAAAGGTGAGAGGAGCAGGAAAGACGAACGACAGGGTGATACCAGGAGGAGCCATGGTACCAGAATCTTGGGGGGGGTGAAGAGGCGGGAGGGAGAGCCGTCAGAAATCTTCGTCCTGCGGTACTTGAAGTACTGGTAGCTGCTGCGGTGGATGTAGCGAGGTCGAAGGCTCTGCCATTCCTGCCGTAATGCTGTCCCATCTCTGGCAACCAGAACGCACTGCAGCATGCGTGGTGCATCTGACATCCTCAGTAAGCGCCGCCGTCCGCCTGTAGTTTCGGCCACCTTGGTTGCGGTGTGGGTGGCGCCTTGTATTCCGGTGCTGGGAACTTGGGCTCGGGCATGGTTGGCGCTGTCACGGCAGTGGGTAGTCATTGTCGTTGTCGTTGTTCTGTTTGGCGGAGGTTGCGTTGTCGTACTTCTGTCAGGTACGGCTGGTATTGCAGCTGGTGGTTGCGAATCGTCTCACTCTATTCCAAGAACGCTTGGTCGTCGTAATCGTGGACGTAGAGCTTTTCAAGGTGCCCCATGTGTGTAGGCATTGGGGTGGCTCCCGTTTGTCCGTCTTGGAGCTGTATCGGGGGTGCTTTGGTTGGAAATATATCTGCTTTGTGGTGAACTTGGCGGTGCTAGCTCTGAAGTGGGTATTTCATTTAGTCAGCGCTGAGCGCTTTCGGCGTCTGGTGGTGGGCAAACTCTGGGAATTCTGAGGCTAGGTGGTGGCAGGTGAATTGGGCTTCTGATCCTAGTGCTGGACTGCTGAGTGGTAATCAGATCGGTCGTTTGTGTTGTTTAGTTTGGTCTGGCGTATCAGTGTCTGCTGGCTGGTTGGTGCTTGCTGGTTGATGCTGGCTGGTTGGTCTTTGGTGCTGGCTGGATGGTGCTGGGTGGTTGTGGTGCGTCGTCAGTGGTGTCATCGTTGGAGTAAGAGCTTGATGGTGGTTGTGGAATGATGTGGTCGTCGCCTGGTGCGTAGGTTGGGTTGCATATCTGCAGCACTAGTTGTGCTGCGTCGTGAACTTGAACGGCCCAGTCGTACTTCATGTTGTTCCCGTAGTCGCGACATGAGCATCGCCGTAATGAGACCGTGAGTCTGGCCTGCTTAGCGGTATCGTGCATCCTTGTAGTCGGGTCTCGCGTTGGGGAGTTGAGGTGTCTGTTGGTAAGCATGACTTACATTCTGAAGTCCCCGTTGAGTCGGTAGTGGTTTACAATGTCGCTCATGTAGTATCCCCGTGGAGGTCGCGGTTGGTAGTGTGGACGTGGTTTCCATGGAGGGAAGTGGTCGTCTGCCGGCGTAGCGTCGCGAAGCTTTAAGTATTTTGTCTTCTCGGTCGGTGGCAACCCGAATGTGTAGAGTGAGGTCGCGTGTGGATCGGGCCTCAGCGGTGGGTGGGGAAGGGTTTATTGGAGTTGTTGTGGACGAACGATTCGTTGTTGTACTTGTCAACGTATTTGTGCCAACCAGGTAGAAGTAGGTGGTCGTTTAAGAATATGAACCTGTAGGTGTTGTTTGTCGAGTGGTAGTAGACTGCGCAGTGTTCTCCTCCTCCTCCTCCTCCTCCTCCTCCTCTTCTTCCTCTTTCACCCATCGTTCCCCGCCCGACAGGTTGGGGCTTGGAGACTAGGAGAACAGGCTTCCCGACCCGCCCACCCTGCATACCGCGGCCGCCCGATCCCCAGGTCAACCAGATGTCCCCCGAGTATCCCGACCCCCGCGCCTTCGACGAAGGTGACAGATCAGAACGCGAAAGCGCAGGACGTGCAGAAAAAGCACCGCGTGAGCGAACAGAGCATGACGGAGCAGAGCACGCAGCATCACACCACACCACAGCACGACGGAACACACCAGGCCTGGGCTGCTGGATTTGAGGAACAGACCTCCCGGCCCGCCCACCCTGCGAACCGCGGCCGCCCGATCCCCAGGGCCGCCGCGCTCGAGCGCCCTCGCCAGGGCCCGCGGCCGCACCCCTGTCCGCACGGCGGCTTCCTCGACCGCCGGGCCGCGCTCCCGCCCCCGGAGCCGGAGCCCTCCCGCGTCGCTGTCGATGTCGTCGTCGTCGGCGTCGTCGTCGTCGTCGTCGTCGTCGTCGTCGTTGTCGTTGTCGTTGTCGTCGTCGTTGTCGTTGTTGTCGTCGTCGTTGTCAATGTCGTCGTCGTTGTCAATGTCGTCGTCGTCGCCGTCGTGGTGGCCGTCGTGTCTGTCGGCAGGGGGAGGAGGAGGAGGAGGAGGAGGAGGAGGAGGAGGAGGAGGAGGAGAAGGGAGGGGGAGAAGGAAAGAGGGAGGAGGGGAAGGGAGTAGGAGGAGAAGGAGGACAGGCGCCGCATGTTCCGGCGGGGATCGCCCGAAGCAAAATATTCTCCATGTTTCCTTTATCCCCACAGCTTATCTCCTCACGGACTTCCCTCATTCTTACTTTCTCATTTCCCATCCTCGCTTCAGCTTTCTCCCTTCATTGTGCTGTTTCTTCTCACCCTCTATGTCTCGTTGTCTTCGTTTTCGTCCTCCTCACCGTTGCTCTCCTTTCCTCCTCCTCCTCCTCGTCCTCCTCCCTCTGCTAGGTACCCCTTCTGCTGTCTCCCTCCCTTCCTCCATCCCTTCTCCTCGGCTGCTTCCTCGCCGCAGGGGGCCCGTCGCATAGGGATCCCTTCCCTGCACGGGCACTCTGCAGCGTCTGGTCCGACATGATTTTTGTCCTCCAGTGTGATGGCCCTTCCCAGTGTTGGCACACTGCAGGACCAGGGCCAGAACACACGGAGGGATCCACTCCCAGATGCTCTTGATGTCTTAATATTTTCACTACGGGGCCCCCGAAAGTCTGGACATTTTCCCCAGCGTCGACTTCATTCGGATCCCCAGGTCTCAGTTGTCTGCTCGTCGCTGGGAGAAAAGCAAACGTTACTGAGTATCGTCTATCGACAGACTCAGTCGACCGTGGTTCGATCGATTGAGGCTTCTCGAGTTTGTTGTGTTCTGGCCTCGGAGGCTTTCTGGAGGCCCCGGGAGACCCCTGACACCAGGATGCGGAGCGATTGCGCTCAGCCCACCGCTTATGACATATAACTGCTAACCGTTGCCACCGCCGTGCCCGCTCTCTGCCATGCCTCTGACTGCACGCATTTGGCGTGTAGCTTTATTTGCCCTCGTCCACGCGTGCTTGGCCTATGGCTGCTGCGTTCGTTCGCTCCTCCCTGCTATGCCTCTGCCCCTGTATCCCTTCCCAAGCGCTCAGCATGACCTACGTGGTAGAAGTGGCACTCTTCTCTCTCCCCCCCCGGCAGTCTGTCGGTTGTCATCCGCCTCTCCCACGAACGTTTCTGACAGAGGATTTCAAGATCCGCTCCTTTTCCGTACGAGTTGATTTCGGTCGGCGCGCTTTCTGTCACTCCAGGTGATTGCGTTCCCGCGAACGTCGGAGACCGCAGTTCTGCTCGGGGACGTCCTTGGGAAGCTCCGTGGGTGGCCATTCTGGGCCGTCACGGAGCGGTCTTGGAGCCTTTTGGAAGTTCGCTGGAGGCTAGTTATTTCGAGCCATTTTCACCGAGCGCGCTCCACTACTCGCAAAGTGCCTATTCGCAAACGGTCGACAACAAAAACACGTCCCCGCCTCGATATAGAGTGGATCGTAGATCCCCCGGGGCGGATCCAGGCCACTTGCGCGTAAGTAACATGCGAGCGAGTAGTGGAGCGCGCTCGCCCACATTTGGAGGCGGTATCTGACGGCTGCCGCCTCCAAAGGCGTCGCGGAGACCGCCGCCGCAGCCATCGCGAGCGCCAGCGTGGCCGACAAACCGGGCATGGTCAAGGGCGCCTTCAACTTCTACCACGACCTGTCGCACTGCACCAGGGGCTGGGGAGAGGCGCCCGCTGCCCGCGCTGCCTCCTCTTCGCCTCGCCCCCATCGCCCCTCCTGACCAGCCTCGAACTTATCCCTATCCCTAAGATTGACACGCCAAAAAGCGATGACAATCTTAGGGATGCGCCCTCAAAAAATATGGGAATCACTAAGATTGGCATCGTGATGCGGAGATGTCCAGCATAGGGATAGGGATATGCTCCAGGCTGGTAACCTCCCGCCCTCGGCAGCGGAATCTGGACCCTTCCTTCGCCGGTCAGAGATTCGGGCAACCTGATGCGCGGCGGTGGCAGGGTTCAGAACTCGTCGAGCACGTGGCGAACTCCGAGCCCCACCCCTGGCTGCCATCGGCTCAGGAGAACCGATGGTCGGCGGGGGTAGGGTTCTGATGTCGCCGCCTATCCCACCACCCCCTCCCATCCCCTCCCCAGGCATGCTCGCGTCGCGACAAGGTCACTACGGACTTAGGGCCTCGGAAGCCCTCGCCGGGCCCCGAGATTGTCCCACAAGAGCGCTGCACGAGAACCCAGCCGTGGGGAGAGGGTCGGGATCTTTGGGGTTCTGGGTGCTTCCCTGGCTTCTCCTCCCCCACCCCCTGCTGCACCTGCGCATGGTGGGCCTGTGGCGACCTCGACAGACCTCCGGGGGCAGTCTCTTCCTCCTCGTCCTCTTCGTTCTCTGCCGCCTCCTCCCTTTCTGGCAGGCGCTTCCCACGACTTCGGTGGTAGGCGCTTCCCGGCTGCAGGGAGTCGCGAGGGCCCCGCGGGGCAGGGTCGCCCTCCGCCCACGCTAGCGACTGCTTGCGATGGGGGCCATCCCAGCTTGTACGTGTCCGGCGGCTCCGTCCCATTCCGTGGAGCGCGATGGAGCTGCCCGCGGGCCAGATAGACGACCGTAACGAACAATGGCATAACCATCGCCGGGGCCCCCTGGCAGCGCCTCCGGCGCCGCCCCTGGCGCGCCCCGCGCGCCAAGGAGGGGGTCCAGCGCGGATCCGAGAAATCCGCGCGGAACTCCGAGTTTTTACGTCTATGTCTCATTGTTGTTTCCTATAGGCCGAGGCCCAATGGTCGTCGCCCCTCTCGCCGACACGGTTGGGCCCGCGCCTCGGATAGGCTTTGTGCCGAGTTTCCTGATCTCGAGGCCCTCGGCGCCAGCGATCTGCTGTTGCCGGGCCATCCGAGATGCCGACCAGGCTGCTCGCGGTCGGCCCGGCGAAAGCAAGGCGGACCTCAGTCGGGAGCCACGAGACGGGGGTCAGTGCAGACGGGGGTCAGCCAGGGCGCCGGATCCTGCAGGATCCTGCGAAGACCCCCTCTGGCTGACCCGGGTTAGGGAGCCGCTCGTGGCCGCGAGGCGGCCGCGCCTATTGGCTGACCCGGGTCTGCGAAGACCTGCGGTGCAGTTTTTTTTTCCTGCATCGCAGTTTTGGGTTTCCTGCTGACCCGGGTCTGGAATGACCCGCGTCAGAAGATCCCCGACTCAGTCGCCGCGGCGCGGGTGCGACGGCGCATCGGGCAGGGCCCCGTGCGATGGCGCCGACGAGTTGGCCAGCTGGCCAAGGCCCAGCCGCCTGCCCGCAGCATGTCAGATCCAAGCGGGGCCGGCGCAGTCCCCCCCCCCGCCTCGCCGATGGACCCGGCCCCGATCCTGAGGCCCAGCGCGCATCCGCGGCTGTGGGGTAGCTCGCGGGGAAAGGAGCTGCCGGGCGCCAAGCGCAAGCAGGTCGAAGATCAGATGCCGAGTGCCTCGATCACCGTCGGCAGCGCCGCGGGCTCCATGGCGCGCTCGATGGCCACTGGGCCAACGAGGCCCCTGCTCAGTCTGCCGCCTGGCATGGCCTGCTACCCAAACGGGCGCGACAAGGCGCGGCAGTAGGTGCACAAGGATCTCGCGACAGAGGTGCTGTCCCAGAACATTTGCATGGATCGGACCCTTGAGCGGCCGAGCCAGGAGGTCAAGGAATGGGCCGCTGAGCAGGCACCCCGCGCGTCGCTCATTTGCGATGTGCTCGGACGAACCAGACAACGATCCAGAACTCATGGCTCGCGATCTGCCATGAGGCTCAGCTTCGACCTGGCGCACCAGAAATCGTCGAACAGCAGATCGTCATTTGCCTGTCATCTTCTGCATCTGCGCCTATCGCAAGCCGTTCACTCGCGACGGGCTGCATGGCGCTGTCGACGAGCTCTGGTTCAGGTGGCGCAGATCGGCGCTGCCGAGTTGCGCGGCGGAGTTGCCGTCGTCGGCACGGAGCGCCTCTGAAGGACTGCTGTGATGGCCTTGCTCGTCGAACGTGGACGCCGCCAGCGAGGTGCTCAGCCGTCAGACAATAGCCTGACTTGCGCTGAAGGGCGCGAGGATCGATCAGGAGGCAGTCGCAGCTGGCGCCCGCCCAATGAAAGCATTCTCTAGGCGATGGAGATCAGCACCAGCTGTCGCGAGGTCGGCGCCAGAGTGTGCAGACGGAGACCATGCCGCAGACTAGGCGCCGTTTGAGCGCATGGCTTGCAGATCGCAGCCTATCGCATCTCAGACGGCCTGCTGACATCCAGCGGTCTCAGGTGTAATGCTGAGAGCTTGAGATGCAGCTTGCCACGCAGAGAGCCAGAGGGCCAGACATCTGATGTATTTCCTTCGGGCTGAAGTACGGTTGGGGGATCGAACCTGTAGCGTGTACGTCTTCCCTCTCCGTCCCATGTGGTGAGCGGCCGAGGACCTCCAGCCCGCATTGTTTGCGTGTGTTCGTCAACGGGAGTCGGGGCAAACTTGCCCGGCCTTCCCCCTTCTGCTTCATGCCTCTGAAGGCCTTCTCGTTAAGTCACGCGAGCGGCGCGTAGTCGGCGCCCGCCTTTCCCCTTCCTCGTCTTCCTCTCCGTCCTCTTCCACGACCGCGCTGTCATCGGGGCAGTGGGTGCTTTGATCTTTCTGCCGGCAGAGCGCCCGAGCGCAACGATCGCGTTCCTGATCTGCGTTTTTTTTCGAACGCCCTGATGTGCTTCGCGAGGAGTCTCGAGGACAGCCGGCATCGTCGCATGCTCTCCTGGTGAAGGATTTCATAGAAGTTTAGAAGCTTACTGGAGCGAATTGAAGCTAATAGCTTTGAGGCGTGATTCAGACCATATTCCGCGTGAGGACACCTAACGCACATGCCCTGTGCGTCTTCGTGTTTCCAATGCTCCAATGCGGGGACCTCACACCGTTTTCAGACGGCCCTGGGGCCGTGTGAGGGCCGCTAGAGGCCACAAGCTGTTGAACACCGTCCGCCTTGATCATTCACTACGCGAGCATGTCTTACTTTCGGGCCATAGCTCGGGCCTCCGGCGGCCGTTCGGGACGATTCGGTACCCCCAGAGTTTCAGTTTGCTGGAATGCATCCCGAGGCCGGGAAGCCGACGGCATTGGGCCGGGGTGTGACCTCGTGTGCGCTGCTTGACCACTGCAGAAATACTTTTCAGGACGAGGATCTAGGAGCAGGAGCTAACGCGGACTCACAAAGGTGAAGCGTAGTCAGTCTCCTTGCCCCCCCTCGCTCCGCAGTTGACTGCTTCGCGTTGCACTGTGTCCTCTGCCCCCATTGCTTCCTCCGGAGCCGATCGGGTCACAGGGGGGACCGCTTGTCCCACCCTCCCACCCCTTTTTCCTCCCCGGGAGCCAGGGCGTGACCTCGTGCGCGCTGCCTGGCCACTGCAGCAATCATTTGCAGGAGGAGGATCTGGGAGCAGGAGCTAACGCGCGAGAGCCCTCGGAAGCCTCCGAAAACCACGCGCGCAAGTCTGAGGCGCCCCGTCTGTTCGCCCTCGCGCGCAGCCGCGCCCGCGGCTGGGCCGCATCCTCGGCCTGCCTTCGGCGGGCCCTCCAAGGCGGGGCCCTGCGCGGGGGGGGGGGGCTGGCCAAGCACAGCGGCAGCAGCGGGCGGGAGCAGAGGCGCCGACGACGGAGTGGCGCCTCCTCCCCCCCTCTCGCCCTCCACGCAGCAGCGCGCCCAGCGACGATCAACCCCGCAACTTTATGGCAGATGGGTGCTGTCCTGTCCGGTGTCGGGATCGCCCTGGGCAGCGGAGCGCCCCTTCTCCATTGTTGTTGCTCTTCGCCCTGCTCGATAGTATTTCTTCCCTTGTCCGCCCTTCCCTTGCTGGCCAGTGTCGCTCTCCCCCGCCTTCCTCTTCCCCCCACCTTCCTCTTGGCCCTCCTCCTCGCCCTCCTCCTCCTCGCACTCGTCCTCCTTCTCCTCCTCCTCCTCCTCCTCCTCCTCCTCCTCGCCCTCTCCCTCGCTGCGGCTCGGGGCGCCGCTCCAGCAATCGGAGTTCGAGGGTCCCCCGGTTCGTCGATGGTTGTCTGACCGCCTCGCCCTCTCTCTGGCCCCCTCCTCTCGTTCCGAGGGCAACAAACCATCTCCGGCCGACAGGTTCAATCCGCGGCCGACGGATTCAATCCTCGGCCGACAGGTTCCACTTCCAGGAATTGGGTAGACCCCCCGCGGTACCAAAACCCGAACACCAGTCCCCGCCCAAACCCCAACCACCAGACCGCAAGACACAAGCCCCAAACCTCAGGCGCCGAATCGCAGCCCCCAAACCCCAACCCCTCGCCCCTGCTCGCCCGCGCCCGCCCCCTCGCGCCCCCTTCTCGACCCCCTTCTCCCGACCGCCCCTCCCTGACGCTTCGCTCTCTCCCTCCACCCCTCCCCCTTGGCCCCCTCCCCCCTTGGCGCCTTCCTCGCCCGCGCCCGACCCCTGGCACGCCGCAGCCCGCCCCGGCGAGGCGCAGCGCCTACGGACCGCGGCGCGCGACTGGAGCCGCGGCGCGGCGGCGCGGGCGGCGAGGGCTTGCGCCCCAGGAGAGGCCCCTTCTCTCCCCCTGCTTTTCCCATTAGCCGCGGAGGAGAGCCAGGGAAGGGAAGGTGGAGGAGGAGGAGGAGGAGGAGGAGGAGGAGGAGGAGGAGGAGAAGGAGTAGGAGAAGGAGGAGGAGGAGGAGGAGGAGGAGGAGGAGGAGGAGGAGGAGGGAGGGAGGGAGGGAGGAGGAGGAGGAGGAGGAAGAGGAGGAGGAGGAGGATGAGGAGCAGGAGCAGGATGAGGAAGAGGAGGAGGAGGAGGAGGAGGAGGAGGAGGAGGAAGCGGAGGAGCTGCAGTACCAGTGAACATTCAAGATTCGTCAATGATGTTGAAGTACACCCTCCCTCCAAAATCCGTCTTCATTGGCCCCTACGAAGGTTATTACCACTGCGGGGAGTGTCCTGTTGGGGGGCAACCGTGTGAACATTATCACGCGTGCCAAAGCACCGTTCACAGGATTTCAACGCCACGAGTTAACCTGAATGCTTCGTCTTGGCGATCCTGAATCGTACCAGCAAGCCGTTCCTGGAAATCCAACACCGCGAATCAGCATATTTGTTGCGCCCTTACACTCCTGAAACGTTCCAACACACCATTCTTGGCTTGTTAGCCATGGGAACCAGCGAAGCTCTGGCAAGGTTTTTTTTTGTTTTTTTTTTTTTTAAAAAAAAAAAAAAAAAAAAAAAAAAAAAAAAAAAAAAAAAAAAAAAAAAAAAAAAAAAAAACGAACGCGCGCGGCGCTAATGCGAGAGCCACATTGTGAAACCAACCCGTCTTCAATCCGTGAAGCTCTTGCAACGTCTTAAGAGAAATGTGCGCAGCGCTAATGCGACATCCACATTTTGAAAACGACCCGTCCTCAATCCGGAAAGCCTTTGCCGTGTTGAAAAAAGAATGCGCGCGGCACTAAGGCGAGAGCCACATCTTGAAAAGTGTCCGCCCTCAATCCGTGAAGCTCCTGTCAAGTTCGAAGACGAATGTGCGAGGCGCTTAGGCGAGAGCCACACTTTGAAAACGACCGCCCTCAATTCGTGAAGCCCTCGCAGTTGTTAAGAAACGGATGTGCGCGGCGCTATGATGAGAGCCAAATTTTGAAACCACCCGCCCTCATCTGTGAAGCTGTTGGCAGGTTTATAGCATCAAGATCGGAAGATGTGAGGAAGTCTCAGGCGAAAGGTCCAGCCCGTCCTTTCCACCAGCCTCGGGGTGCGATAGGGAGGACTTATCTATAAAGAGAACGAGTGGAGAAGGAGGAGGAGGAGGAGCAGGAGGAGGAACAAGAGGAGGAGGAAGGAGGAGCAGCAGGAGGAGATGGAGAAACAGGAAGAGGAGGAGGAACAGGAGGAGGAGGAGAAGGGGGAGGAGGAGGAGGAGGAGGAGGAGGAGGAGGAGGAGGAGGAGGAGGAGGAGGAGGAGGAGTAGGAGGAGAAGGAGGAGGAGGAGGAGGAGGAGGAGGAGGAAGAGGAGGGGGAAGAGGAGGGGGAGCAGGAGGACAGAGGCGACGTCCCCGCTTCTTGAAATTTGATTCCCCCCAGGGGCGACAGCTCCTGGTGGATAGCAGCCTCCTTTACTTGATACTATCTCATACAGCGTCAGCGACAGGAGGGGGCCCGAAGCCAGCTCATGATGTTTCCTCTCTTGACTGATCCCCGGGGGGCAACGAGCAGGACCACCCAGAAGGCATCGCCTCTCACCATGCTTGTTGCTCGGTCAGGCCACTCACCTTGCTCCTGCGTTGGGTTGGAGGCGGCGCCGGACACCCCGTGGCAACGACGCCAGGAGCGGCGCCAAGAGCAACAGCCGATGTAGGCATCGCCAATTCCTCCGCAGTAAGTTGGTTGCAAGCGCTGCCGCGCTACGAACCAGATCCGGCCAGTATGGTGTAGAGTGTGTGAGGCGCATTGGTAGACGCTTCCATCGGTCGCCCCACATGGCCCGACGGACCAGGATGTCGTCATGGCGTGGACAGGCAAGGCCACTGTCAGCACCTGCTTGGCATTGTGGCGATGACGGGAGCCAGTGCAGGGGACAGCCTCGCCTGCGAGAAGTTTGAGGAGGCCACTGGGCCACCTACCGAATCAGCGACTCATGACGAACTCGGGCAGCACCAAAAGACGCAGCACCGCCTGGCAGTGGCGAGCCAGCAGCTTGCTCAAGGTTCAGTTAGTCCCGAATAAGCACGAGCTGATTATCCCTCACAGGGGCAGGATCGCACTACGCACATCGCCGAACAGGTCGTGCATGTGCGCAAGGAAGTAGACTCCAGTTGGAGTGGCCAGAGGAGGAGGCGAGGGGGAGGGGAAGGAGGATGGCATCATCTGGAGGACAATGGTATTGTGGTGAAGAAAGGGGACGCGGGGAAGAAGGGGAAGGAGGATGAAGCGGAGAAATATGATATCTCATGGAGGAGGACTACGATCTGGGCGCAAATCACGCCGAATCGGCAGATTGTTCTAAGGTGGATTCCACGCTGACCAAGCGGGCCGACTGGTGGCCCCCTCCCGCTTCTCGCCATGTTGTTGATGTTCTTCATTTCCCTTTCTCGTTTTCCTCTTTGCCATCCTCCGTCTTCTCCTTCCCTTCTCCGTCTAATGCAAGTCCCCATCATGTCATGTTGGTTGTTCGAATCCGAGTGAATAGTTGGTTGTCGCCATTCAGCTTCCGAAGTTGTTTTTTCATGTTCCGTTGGTTGTCCAATGATTTACGCCTGGAGTTGTTGTCTGGTCGTTGCCTGAAGCATTCGGATTGGCGTTAGCATCTGTTTGTGCGCGATGTCAAAGGGGCTTGGGGTATCGTGCGATGCCTGCTCGCTTGCTGACTTGAAGGGTCTCGTGTCTGATATTCGGTTTGCTTTCTTGCATTTCCCAGACCCTTCTTGAGGGCCCGATGGTTCGATGTGGTTTGTTTCTTTCTTGTCCCAACTACCTTCCTCTGTCTTGTCGCCTCCATGAGCGATCCCGATCGGTCCGAAGCCCGAGCGGGCGAGAAGTGCGAGTAGACTGCCGGCTCGCGATCCCGTGGTTCATCCGAATGATGTCCTAGGGTGTCGAGCCTGCTGGAGGCAGACCAGCACCCTACTCTTCATGGCACCAACATCGCAAAGTGGATTTCGTTCGGAAAACAATTGGGATGGGCCCAAATTGTCTTGGAGAGTGTCGCTCCGAATTTCGAAGCGACAGCCGTGAGGATTTTCTTGGTAAGGATCGAAGACAAAGCATCCAGGTGGCATTCGCTCGCCGTTCTGGGGTCTTGCATTGGCAGAAATCCACGCGCAAATCCGCTGCAGCACGTCTGCAAGGTCGGTGCAGAGATTTTCCTTAAAGTCCGTCGCCTCCCAGGCGTGTGGCCCCCAGGATGTCGGCCTAGGTCACCAGGCCCAGGAGCTACATCGTGTCCTGACCTGTGTCGAGCGAGGGGGGAAGTGAGAAGGGGCGGGTCCTCTCAGAAGGCGTGGAAGTTCCCTGGCCTTCTGAGAAGCTTGCTAAGCCTGCTCCAACGACACAAACAACCTCTCAGAAGGCCAGGGGGCTCCTGAGAAGCCCCGCCGCCTTCTGCGAGGGCCTCCTCTGTCTCAGTTCCCCCCCCTCGCTCGCCGCCGAAGAGTGCGGCCCAATCGGCGCGCGCCTGCGACCCGAGAAGAGGGGAGGGGGGGGAAACGGGGCGGGGCGGGGCGGGAACGAAGGCCGGGAGGGTGGAGCACGTGCCGCGAGCGAGGCAGCAGCGAGGCCGCCGCTCCAAGGACGGGCGCACGGCCCGCGCCGCCTCTGGCTCGGCGCAGGGCCGCGCGCGTGGGCGAGGCCGCCGAACGCCTCCTGCGGCGCGCGTCGGGGGGCTCGGCGTCGCTCGGACGTGCGCACTCCTTCCCGGCAAGGGCCATCCTGCGAAGCATGCGCGCGCGAGGCCGTTAGGATCCCTAGGAATCTTCAGGATGCCTAAGGATTCCAAGGAATTCCTAAGGATCCCTTGGAAATTCCCACGGATTCCTAGGACACTCCTGAGGACTCCTAGGAACTCCTAGGAATGCCTAAGAACTCCGACGCATCCCTAAGAATTCCCAAGGATTCTTCAGCGTGCACGGGGAGTGGGCGTCCCAGGCAGACCTCGGAGAGGCTCGACCTCCAAATTTCAGCCACGCGCAGAGGAGGAGGAGGAGGAGGAGGAGGAGGAGGAGGAGGAGGAGGAGGAGGAGGAGGAGGAGGAGGAGGAGGAGGAGGAGGAGCATGCGCGCGCGAGGCCGCACGGGGGGGGCATGGGCGTCCGGGCGACGGCGCGAGGGAGCGCGGGCCCCGCGGAGCCGGGGCGCGCCGAGCTGAGGCCCTCGGCCCGCCGCGGCGCTGCGCGCGGCGCCCGGCGGGCGGACCGCGCCCCCCCGCCGCGCCCGCCTGCCTCTCCTCCCTCCCTCCTCCTCCTCCCCTCCCTCCCTCCTCCTCTCCTCCTCCTCCTCCTCCTCTCCTCCTCCTCCTCCTCCTCCTCCTCCTCCTCCTCCCGAACCTCATCCTCCTCCTCCTCCCTCCTCCTCCTCCTCCTCCTCCTCCTCCTCCTCCCTCCTCCTCCTCCCCTCCCTCCTCCCTCCTCCTCCTCCTCCTCTCCTCCTCCTCCTCTTCCTCCTCCTCCTCCTCCTCCTCCTCCTCCTCCGCCCCCCCACCGCGCCCGCCTGCCTCGCTCTGCCCTCCCCCTCCGCGAACGCTGTCGCGTCGTCTCGTCGCCTCTTGCCGCGGGGCTCCCTTGGCGAGCGAGCAGCTCACACCCATACCCGCAGGAGGGTCGAGAGGAGGGGAGCTGGCTATGGGTATGGGTGCGAGCTGTCGGGCCCTGGGGGCAGCTCCCGTTCGAGCGGGGACCCCCGTCCGACAACACGCACCTATAGCCTCCTCCGTCCCCCGTATGGGTATGGGTGCGTGTTGTTCGATCGTCATCCCTTCGGCTGGTAAACGAGAAGGTGTGCGTGAGCACGGGAGCGCTGGGCGTCTGGGGTCTGCTCGCGCACGGTCCTGCTTCTGCTGCGTTCTTGGGCTGTCTTAGGTCGGGCGTGTCCTGCTGCAGGTGGATTTTTGGAAGCAAAATGCAAAAATAGCAACACATGTTTTCAAACACCAAAAAACCTAAAGCAGTGAAAAATCGTCCCCAGGCTAGATATTTACTACTTGGACATTCCTCCTGTAGAGGGACAGGCCCGACTTAAGAGCTGCCTCCGCAACCGCTGTGGCTCAAGCGTTGTTCACCGCAGTTCCTGTGACTGCTCCGCACGCGCTCGATCGTGTGTGTGCGCTCCTCTGCCGATCTCGCGCCGGGCGCTCCACGAACCGCTCGGCGCCTCCCCCGCCTCTCCCTGGGATGGTCTCGGCTGCGACGCCCGGCGGGTCGCGGCCCTGGCGCTCGGCGGACCTGCGCCGGACCAGCTCCCCACGGGAACCTGAGAGACCGCCCCTCGGGGGTGGACAGAGCCCCCAACAGTGACACGTCGATTCGTGAATTGTCCGTTTTCGGTTCTCGAGAGGGCGCCGTGGCCGTTGTTTTCCCAGGCTTGCGCCCGCCAGGTTTGGGCCTCAGGTCGTTTTCACTAACCACGTTGTACTAAAGGGGGGCCTGTCCATCCCCGAGCCCCGCTTCCAGACAGCGTCGGTCGGATCGACGGCGAGGTCCGAACCCTGGCCTCTGCGAGAGGTCCGGGGAGTAGCGGTGTTGGTATCTCTTTGACTTCCCCAGTGCCATGGCCCTCCCCTCGTTTTTGCCTTTTTGGGGGCCTCCCAGATGGCCCGCGTCGCCACCGCTGGATTCGCCTCGGAGTCCTGGCAAGAGCGCACCCCAGGAGAGGTCTGGGGAGTAGCTGTGCTGGTACCTTCGGGACCCTGCCCTCGCCGATCAACGAGTCAGGCAACTCGATGGGCGGCGGGGGCAGGCTTGGAATTCTTCGAGCACGTGCCGAAGTTCGAGCCCTGCCCCTGCCGCCCAGCCGATGGTTTGCGAGGGTGGAATGCGGATGTCGCCACCCGTGGGACGGCAGTGGGGTGCGTCGAACGACGCACTCTCCCATCGGCTGTTGGACGCAAGGCGACAGTTTTAAAGCTACTCGCTACACCAGAGAAAAATCCCAATCGGTGGATGGTTTGAAATTGGGTCGATAAAGACATCGATAAGGAGATCGACCGGGAACCCGGGAACCCGGAACCCACCGAAATCGGCACGGAACCGATGACCAGGAACCCCGGGAACCAGGCACAGGGAACCCGGGGACCCAGCCGGCCACCAAAATCGGCGGGACATTTTCGCCACATCTTGCAATTTCCGCTAGGACCCCTTCAGTGCAAGCACCGATTGGGGAATAGGGCCAAATTCTGGGCGCTCCAGATTCCCACCCCCCCGCGCTGGCCCCCCTCGTTCATGTCCGCTTGGTAGAGCTCAGCAAATATTGACGAACCAACAACACACACCCATACCCATAGGGGGATCGGAGAGGGCTATGGGTGCGTGTTGTCGGATGGGGGTCCCCGCTCGAACGGGAGCGTTCCCCAGGGTCCGACAACCCGCACCCATACCCATAGCCAGTCATCCTCCCAACGACCCCCTTATGGGTATGGGTGCGTGTTGTCCGTTCGTCAAATCTCAGGACGGACGCTGCTTTGTCACTTTCCGGCCTCGAGGGGCCGGGCTCCAAGATCGTCAACACATGGATGAGAGAGACAGGAATATGAAGAGAGGGAGGGAGAGAGGGAGAGAGGGGGGGGAGAGAGGTAGAGAGAGAGAGAGAGAGGGAGACAGAGAGAGGGATAAAGAGAGAGAGAGAGAGAGAGACGCCGTGTCGTTCTTGCACTCCCAGGGCACAAAACAAGCTGTCCCGTGCAAGGGACCCGGTGCTCAGGGGGATCCGCGTGTTCTCAAAAACACGTCGTCGGCGGTCGATGGCCAGGGCAGGAGAGAGAGAGAGAGAGGAAACAGCGCTTCGCCCCCGAGAATTGAAATCGGCTTCCTGCCATCGGCAGAGGCAGCCTGGCGGAATGCCGGCGGAGGCTGGCGGAAGCGACTCTGCCAGCAGATGGCCGGCAGACGCTGGAGGAAGCCAAAACAGTAGTCCCCTAACTGTGAGCCTCGGCCGTCAATTTTTTCGCGCCTTGGGTCGCGCAGATCGATCCAGCTCGAAACAGGGCGCAGAAAGACGGGGTCTGGGGCTCCAGGCGTAATCTTGCAGGGTGCTCTGCTTGCTCCGTGTCGTCGGAGGTCAGGGTCCCCCAAGGGAGGTGTCAACATCATGTGTCCAGGGCTTCGGAGCGGGCCCGACGGGGAGGTTCGAGGGCCTTTGGCGCCGTGGACAAGTCGCGGCGGATTGCTCAGAGGAGCAAAAGGTACCGCTACCGCTACGCTTGGCTCGTTTTCGCCTTTCTGGGCCTCCTGGGAGGGCCTCGTCCCCACCGCTGGATTCGCCTCGAAATTCCGGCCAGAACGTATCCCAGGAGAGGTCTGGGGAGTAGTGGTATGGGTACCTGTCGGTCTCC